GATTCAACTGATTCGTTGTCGCTGAATTCCGGACTTGCAAATCGATTGGCTAGGTTGACCGGTTCGAGTTGAACAAGGCACTCGAACCTCTTGAGTTTCTTCATCAGCTTCTTCTTCGTCCCTATATATGCATTTATATGTCACACTTTATTTTGGTATAAGCTCAAAAATAATATAATCAAGCATTCCTTAATGTGTGATGCATAAGGTACACAGGCCAACCCAATATAGATTGTGCCATAGACGGACTAGCCCCTACAGTCAGACCACGCCGATGTAAGGTTTTAATTTGCCCAACATAGTCCAGGCCATGTTGGTCGGCATATGCCTCCTCAATTAGCCAGGGTAACTTGGGTCGATCCTATTGACACCCCCAACAGAGAGAGAGAGAGAGAGAGAGAGAGAGAGAGCGAGCTAGCTAGCTGACCTTCCATAAGAGCAAGTCTTTGCTGAAAAGGCGAGGAGACTTCATCGTCATCTTCAAATGGACAGTCGAGCACGGACACTGGACTGAACTGTTAGAATATTCGTCAAGTTAGAAAAGCAAATACGGCACTCCACAAAGTTCAAGCCATCGTACGATAAAATTAGACATGATTACACAAAATAAAAATGTAATTGGACCATAATGAAATATTAATTTATGGCACGACAAAAAGTTGAATGCAGAAACAAACATTATTAGCCACTACAAACAAAGTCCATTAATATAGACATTATCCACACAACCCCAACCTAAATAATTAACAAAACAGACTACGGCCCCTCAAAGTTGTTGGTTCTGTAATAAAGTCTCATAAATATATTATCGTGTGGGCCCCATCCAAAAACTTTTATTTTTTTATCATAAATTCTTGATCGAAATTATAATACGAATTCTCTCTTTTTTAAAAAAAATATATTTTTTCTCCTTATTTGGAATTCACACAAACTATTTATGCCATATTAATAGAGTCGGGAATTTCAATTTAACTAATTTTTAAAAAAAAATTATTATGGTGAACGAGTTTAAGCCCTTGTTTGGCTCCCATTAAATTTTTATTAACCACACATTCTCTTATAAAATAATATTAAACATAAATTAAAAAAAAAATTCTTTCTTTTTTAATCGCATATTTGTCAAAAAAATTATTATTTCTTTCATTGTCACGAGTCAAAAGTCAACACCACTATTAGACAAAGTATATGCCATCTGTCTGTCTAATTATTTAACAATAATTCCAAATCTTAGGTGTAACTTCTATGAGCAACCATCAAATAATAAATATCTTTATTTTACCTTAGAAAAGGGCATTTTCGAGGGAAAAAAGAATAGGAGGGAGGATCTAGTATCTCGTGTACCGTGGAATAAAATACAGACGCGAGTTTTCACCCGTGGATCCAGCTAATAGTCCACATTTAGCGTGATCTACGCCGTCAAGAATCCAATAGTATTTTACTATCATAAGAACCGAATGTAGTGTATCTTTCCCAAATATACCCCCCCGCACGTGTAGTAAACCAGCTATTTTCCCTCCACTTTTACCGCTGTGAAAACTCACCAATAATGAAGCAAATACCTCACTTTCTTTCATGAAATTCAAAATTATATTGCTTTCTTTATTATTTTTCAAAAGTTTGAAATTTTAAGCTCACGTCTAAGCAAATATTGCCGTCGAATTTTAGCTAAAATCAAAACTAAACCTTGGTGAAGAATATAATATGTTACAATAAAATGATGGGTTATACTTAACAGGGACGGATCCAGTATCAAATTACAGGCCGCGCTAATACGTTAAAAAAAAAAATTACACATGATTTTTTTTAACATAAATTTTAAATCAGTTGGAAGGGAGGGGGGGGGGGGGGGGGCTGTAGCCCGGCCCAGGCCCCCTCCATCCGTCCCTACAAATAGTGGTAAAAATATTAGGGTCCGTTTGATCGCAAATGTGAAAAATGGGTGGAAAGAAAATGAATTCTAAAGAATTGAATTGCTTAGAAATTATTTTATTGAGAATTGTAATTAATTTTGTTTGATTGGTATAATTTTTCGCCAGAAAATATTGAAATTTTGGTGTCCGTTTGACTTTGTTTTTTATGAAAATTGTCCATTAAAATGACAATTTCTTTTACCATTGGGTGCAAAATTTGTTTCACTTGCCAAAAAAAAAAAAAATTTAAAAAAATTACCATACAAAATGCTATTCGTTTGACTTTGTTTTGCATGAAAATTGTCAATAAAAGTGATAAATTTTTTTATCATTGAGTCTAGAATTTTTCTCAATTACAA